TCCTCAAAAACTAGGAGAATTTTATATTTTAATTCGAACCTAATTGATAATCGAACTGGACGTTCTACAAGTTGAGATATGATTTACCTTTTTGGTTTTCTTTGACTGCGAATCATTAAAGCCAGACGAAGGTTCCGTTTATAGACCTGGTTCGGTTAGAGGAACGCAGAGGGATGCATTTCTTTCGAGTTTACAACTCTTACTTAGAGCGCCTGCAAGTAACATCACAGCGTCAACCAAAAAACAAACCATGTGGAATGTTTGCGGCATCCCCTGCAATCCGGCCACACGGGTGAATGCCATTCCGATCTGCTTCTTCGGTCATTACCTTACTTCCGACCTTCGCACATGCGGCAAATCACCGCGTTTAACAACCAATGTCCGCGCAATTGGGAACTGGTTCTAAGTTTTCAACAACGATGATATTCATCATGTCGGCAGCAAAAATGAACTTTCTTGCGCCACTTACAAGTTCAGCTGAGTAAGCCTGGTTTAGGACAGCCACTAACATATGCATTTGCCCGACCATAGGATAAAATAGATTTCGCCTCAAATTTATTAACATTTTAGTAGATAAAATTGTTTACACATACATTCTGCATCAAAAAAATATTTTCCGGAAGAGGTTAGACTAATGACAAAGCGGGCAGCGCTTTTTTGCATAAGCATTATCGTATTACTTTCCATCATCATGCTATATGAGTTAGGTGACATACTGTACTTAAGTCAGTCACCAACATAAAACTAAACTGTTAGTCCCTAAAGAACACAGTACATGGTTCTCAACGCCCTTGTGTAAGTCTTCTGACTTCAGCAAGCTATTTGGTTCATTTAAACACCAAGAATGAATGGTATGTCATTTTGACCTCTAGAGAGCGGCTGTCTAAGAACGAAACGACAAACCGCTAGAAAATGATCAGCACTTGCGATGTGAAACGTAACTGCTTTGTGGATGACAGGCTTTCCGTTAGTATGTAGACTTTACAATATCTGATGCAAGATCCACTTGTTGCGAAAGCCGGCGTTGCCTGAATGACG